TCTATCTTGTTAGCGAAGAAGATCTCGTGCCAGAAGAGCGACGCGTTGTCGGTGCTGTGGTCACCGGTCAGCTTGATCTCATGGGTCTCGGCCTGCGCATCCGCGGCGCCGACGTTGGCCACCTCGTTGCACAGCCTGACACAAGAAACACAACAGACACTATTCTGTGTGAGTTCGTCTGCCCTCCCTCCCTCCCCTCTGTGTCGCTTGGCTCACCAGTCCATATAGATTGGATCGGCGTCGAGGAACGGGTGGCCGTCTGTGTCCTTGGGCAGCCCATCCAGATGGTGCAGCAGCAGATAGGCGATGAACGAGTCGCTCACGCCGGGCAGCAGCAGCGGCTTGCGCGGCACACACAGCACCGTCCCGCCCACGTTGATCTCGATCTCTCCATCCAGCGGCTCAGTGACCGTTTGCTGTCCCCCAGTGCTTGTGATCAGTCGGTTGACGATGAGTGTCCGCTTCTCCAGCTCGGCCACCAGCCGCTTGGCGGCATCGACGCCTCTCATGTTTGCCGGCGATGCGAGATGGGGAGGCAGGACAACAGACGAGCCGCTCGAGCCGTTCATCTGAGAATGAGGGAGATGCGAGCTGAAACAGTGGACTGCGATCCGGCACATCGCCGAGAGATTGGGCAGATTGTCGCCTGTTGGACCCGCCAGCATCCTCACAAGCAGTGTGGTGGGCGACTCCCGAAAAATGGCGGCTGTTTGACTCATAGAAGGTGGTGCTTCTGGCTGTGTTCAGTTTTTGCTGGTCGTCACCCTGGACGGACGGTGCAGGTACAGTACCTGTTGTTCTGTGTAGACACATAAACACAATAGACCGATGCAGACACTCACTGTTCACCCAAGCATCCATTGCACAGATCGATGTCATGACATCGCGAAAGGGCCGGCCGAGTGAGATGACCAACTTGTGCATGTCGGTCATGGTGTGCCACTCACGCAGCCAGCATGGATGCAGTGACCATGACCGTGATCAGTGCACACGATAGACACATAGACAGGAGAAGATGGTCCCTCCCTCCCTCCCTTTGTCTGCCGGCCATCACATCGAGTGCTTGTCGTCCATCAACAAACATCACCCCGTCCATGGACAGTACACAGACGATGACCGACTTGCTTGCACCGTCGCATGCATGAAAAGACTTCACGCTCTACACATGCACCACACGGCAGCCACATGCCCTGTCGATGGAACACAAAAACCCTTTTTCCAGCACAGCGCCAACCAATCGTACAGACGGCGAGCGAATCAAAAAGTAAACAGCGAATCGTCCGTCATCAAACAAACGGCACAGCAGCGTGTCGGTGTCTAGTGGTTGTTTGATCACGGGCAGTGCGAGGCTATGGGGTTCTCTCTGTGTGTACAATACACACACAGACACAGAGACATGTCTGCACACACATACATTACATAGGAAAACTTCTTCCTCGATCCGCCGGCTTGCAGACTGTCATCACAGCGGCATGGACCATCCCCAGGAAGCGGTAGACAAATAGAGAGCCGCTCATGTCACCCATAATGTGACCCAGGCGTTAATCAAACACGGCGCACAACACACACACATGTGCCCCTCCCCCGATCGATGACGACATGATACCATGCATCACACAGACACCACATCAAGCAGCAGCTACAGAGTACAGACAAGCGTAAACGTATACACCCTGGGGGGCTGTGGGGCACCGATCAGCTATCTACCAGCACCGCACCGCCAGCATAAGAGCCGCATAAAGGCCAAGTAGCACATAGGTCTTAATGAAAAGAGTGAGAGCAGCGCAAAAGGCACTTCAGGCAAAGGAAAGAGGCGGCCCTCGCCCCCCTCCCTCTCCTGTCCCCCACGGAACGCCCACCCCTCCGCCCCTCCCACCCCTCCGCCCCTTTCACGCCTGTCCCAGTGCATCAGGCGTTGACCTCCTGCGCACACACACACAGCGACATACACATCACATGGGTACAGGAATCAAATGCAGTTTTCCGATCTCTCTCTGCTTGTTGCCCTCGCTGCCTCTCGCTGACCTCTGTGATGTGCCACACCTCCATCTCAGTGCACTCGAATTCGATCGTGCTGGCCAGCGTGCGGCGACCGTCATCCATCGTGCCATCCTCCTCCTCGTCGTCAATATCGCTGTCGTCAATGTGGCCCTCCGGCAGCTTGTCCCTCTCGATCCACTGATAGCAGCTGCTGAGGTCGTCCGCCGGTCCAGGATCACCGTAGCCAAGCCAGAGGTAGCCGCCAGCAATGCACACATCGGCAGTCGACTCGTCATCGTCGTCCTCCACCGCCAGCTGTGTGCCGGCCACCTCCACCTGCTGGTCCTTCTCCTGCAGCTCGATCTTGGTCGGCGTCTCGTACGCACCCGACAGCGAATAGAGGAAGACGGGCACCTTGTAGATGTTGGCCTGCGTGGGGTCGTCTGGCGGTGTGAGTGGGCCGTCGATGAAGGCACCGAATCGGTGAGTGGGGCCATCTTGAAGGGCGAAGAGGAGGCCGCTCTTGCCCACCACCTTGTTAAGGAATGAGGAATACCCAAACCTGTCGCGACTCGACCTGATAACGGCACACACACACGACAGCCATGTCTGTGTGTCTCTTTCCCTCTCTGGCTGTTGCTGGCTCACTTGTAGATGAGTGTGACGGTGGGTGAGTGTTTGCCGGTCATCTTGATGACTTTGCCCCACTCCTCGGCCGTCTCGATGACGAAGTCGCCACCCGTCACGCCATTGCAGAGGGGCTCGTACTTCAAGCCATACGTCTCCTGACACACACACACACATGACCAACACAGCTGCTCCTTCATGTGTGTGTGCCTCCCTCCATCTCTCTATGTCACTTACGATGTCCTCCTTGACGAGCCGTTCGTCGCCCTCCTCGACAAGCGGGGGGCGGATGAGCTGATTGTGCGGCAGGGTCGCGATTCGGCGGGCGAAGTCGACTGTCGTGACGAAGTGCTCTGATGGGGTCTGGTCGACATCGTGACCACCCAAATGCTGGGGCATCCTGAACAGGCAAACAAACAGAGAGAAAAGATCCATTCGAAGCGTTTCCAGGGTTCCGCCGTCCCGTCCCCCTTCTCGCCCCTGTGTGTCTGACTTACGTCAAGAACCGTGTCAGCAGAGCGTGATTGTGGCCTAGGCGCTCGAGCGTCTTCCGCATGATCAACACCGGGCGGCCCATGACCGTCAGGCTGAGAATGCTGTCCGCCTCGCCATCGCCACTGCACAGGAAAGGCGCCATGGCCGTCAGGAACGTCGCGATCTCATCCCTCTGCCGCACCAGCGCCTTGTACGCCTCGGCGTCGGCGCGCAGGCGCTGCTCGAATGCCGCCATGGTATCTTTCATGGCTCTCTCCACACCGTCAGCTACAGTCCCCTCCCCACCCCCTTCCCCCTGGCCGTCGACCTCCATCGGTGCTGCTGCTGCAGGGAGCGCTTGCGGGGGGGCCGAGTAGCAGTTGATCTTGCGCATGAAGAGGGAGTGGTAGTCGGCGTACAGCGGGTCGGCCGCCTTGGACGCCGGCAGCTCGATGGCCATGGTGCGGCCGGTGTCGATGAGGGTCATCTTGTCCAGGAAAAAAGAAAAGGCCGATGACGTCTCGAGGTAGATGTGGCCGTCGGCGTCCTTCGGCAGGCCACCCTCATGGTACATCAACAGCACTGAGATGTACCGCCGCTTCATATACGGCCGCAGCAGCGCTGTGCGCTTGACAGGGAACACCTGACCGCCTAAGTACAACGACACGGACAAAACGAGAGAGATTGACGGACAGACACAGATACCCTCGGCCTGTTGCGTCTCACCAGCATTGACCATGATGACCCCATCTTTCTCAGCGACGCCCCCAACACCGCCTTTGTCAGTGACCATGGTCCGTATCTCCTCGGTCACGGCCTTGACCTCCTCCTTTCTGTCACGGATGGCGCTCGCTGTGTGCTCCTGCAAGCCCTCCAGGCTGTTGCTGCAGCGGGAGATGATGACGTCCACACTGGCCGAGCCCGTCAGCACATCGGATGCCGACGCTCCTGCCGCTGCTGCCGCCGCAAAGGGCGGCGGCCCTTCGGCCCTCCTCTTCTTACCCATTCCATCCATCTCTGCCTTCCTCCTGCAGGGTTTTCTCCATCACCCGACGTGCCAACGGTTTGCTGCGAGCTCCAACGGCAGCAAAGCAAGCGGAATCTGCCATTCCCCAGATTTAGCAATGGCCAACGCAGCCGGTGGTGAGTCCATCGCCGCCCCATCGCAGCTCCGCAGCGTGACGAGTGGCCGTGAGATGCGCTCGTGAAGGAGGCAGCCAATGCGGTAGACGGGCTGGGGTCGGCCGCCAAGATGGCCATGCATCTCCGTCAAGGCCGCGGCTACCTCTGTGGACACCTTCAGCCAGATCACCAGGACGGCAAAACAGCTGGCGGAGAAGGAAATCGAGGCGCTGGCTGGGAGCATCAAGCAGCTGATCACGGACAACGGAGGCACCATCGAGCCGCAGCAGAAGGACGGCCGCATGCAGCTCAACGTGGGCGGCACGGTCTTCTCCATCTCGGTGAAGCGGCTCCTGCATCGCAAGATGAAGACGACTTACCTCTCGACGCTGCTGCTGCACTTCACCGACCAGCTGCCGAAGGACGAGAACAACTTGCCCTTCCTCGAGATGCACCCGGCGTATTTCCGCTGGCTGCGCGACGAACTGGCGCTGCTCGAGAGCCCCCATTTGGACGAGGTCGCCATCCATTCGCCCCAAAGTGAAGATCCCTCATACTCGGAGTACCACTCCCTCTTCATGCAGAGCTTGGCCGGCGAGATCGACGTCGAGGAGCAGCCACAGGCCATGGCCACATCGGCTGCAGCGGCAGCGGCAGGGGCAGCTGGAGGGGGAGCCGAGCAGGCCGATATGGACATGGCTCATGCGAACGTCCAAGAGGGGCGAGATGGGGGCAGTGGTGACAGGGAGGGAGTAGATGAGGCGTTTGAGAAGATAGTGCAGTACATGAGCAGCTACTGGCTCGTCCGCGAGGAGCTGCAGAGGCAGAAGGAAAAGATGGAGGCCGTCCTGACGGCCATGCGGCCGTTCGTCAAGGGGGACAGCAGCGAGGAGGACATCGCGGTGATGTCACTCACTGTCGAGGACGAGCAGGTGTCGATCCTGCGTCGCAATCTGGCCTACCTCGGACCGAACCATGCCCTCGTCAGGCGATACAATCCGTAAGGACCGTAACGCTGGGGATCTTGTGTGGTGTCCTATGTGCCTGTGTGTGTGTGTGTGTATGTGTGTGTGTGTATGTGGGTGTCATAAGACCCCCGGCACACACAGCATCGATGTGTGTGTGGTTTTTTGTTCTTCAGCGATCAGTGGCCCGATCAGGAGGCCCGCCAGACGTCGCTCAGATTTCTGCAGCTCATCGTGGACTTTGCCCGCCGTTTGGCCGTGATGCCGTCTGGCCGGTTCGTCCATCCGCCGGTGGTGGCGGCGCACGAGAAGGCCATCTTCGGTGTCGAGTTGGGAATGTACGGCCTCAACACGGTGCCGCCTGTCGGTGGGGCGGCGGGGGCGTCCGCTTTGATCAAGACGGCCGACGAGTGGCTGGCGGTGATGAAGATGGCCGACAAGAGGATCGCCGTGGCGCCGTCGCTGCTGTACAAGTGAACTCAGACAGACATGCCGGGCACACAGACATCGTTGTTGTGTGTCGATGTCAGGTCGAGTCGTGACACGTTTGGGTATCAGTCCTTCCTCAACAAGGTCACCGGCAAGAGCGGCCTGCTGTTCGCCCTCCGAGATGGCCACACACACCGATTCGGGTGCTTCGTCGACGGCCCCCTCACACCACCAGACGACCCCAACGACACCAACGATTACGATGTGCCCATCTTCCTCTTTTCCCTGTCGGGTGCGTACGAGAAGCCCACCAAGATCGAGATACCCGAGGACAGGCAGCAGGTGGACGTGGCCGGCACACAGGGGGCGGTGAAGAACGACAAGGGCGAGCCGCGTGCGAATGTCTGCATCGCCCGCGGCTATCTGTGGCTGGGCCGTGCCAATCCTGGCCCTGCAGCCGACCTCAGCCGCTGCCATCAGTGGATCAAGAATGACATGCCCGACGGCTACAGCGGGGGGTACACGGAGAAGGGCAGCGGCATGTTGGCGCAGTCCATGAGCTTCACGTGCGATGAGATGGAAATCTGGCAGGTGGGTGGGTGAGGGTAAGAGAGGGCACATCAATCTCTGGTCGTGGCCCAACGCTGCTGTGTCTGTGTGCAGGTGCTGAGCGGCTGATATGGAGGTGCGACTTCCCGTGTGGTGATGTGGAGGTGTGGCAGGTCGGTGCCGCACAGGGGAAGGGCCACCACTTTTACCTACACACATATGTGCCGTGTGTCCATCTGTGCTGTGTCGGTACGTGTGCAGGTGCTGGGAGACTGGGCGGATCTGTCGCTGCCACGTTGGATGACCGCCGAGGCGTGCCTCTGTGTCAGCAGTAGCCTGTGAGTGCAACAGCAGAGGTCGATGGCTTCATAGACCTTTTGTGACCTCATCCATGTCCGTGTCTGTCAACCTTTATGGGAGTTCTCATCATCACATCACATCACTGCACAAGTCGACCGACCAACCGATCATCAGAAACTTCCCGACGCTCACTCACTCAGATTCCGACAGTCAGTCAGTCAGTCAGTCTGTCACGACACGCAAAAACGCTCAGATATCTGCGCGCGTCGCTCTTCCTGTGTCAACGAGCCCACCGCGACCTGACCCATGGCGTCTTTGCTGAAGACAACATGGGTAGCATCGCCATGGGCAGGGTGACACACGAAGAACCCACACCAGCCCGACGACCAGCATCAGGCGACTGACTGCTCTAGCGTACACGGCCATGGACCGACACGACCAGTCTCGCCAGAATATGACCATATTCACACAGACGACAGACAGACAGACGGCGGATGGAAACGATCCCTCTCTCTCTCTCCGCTATAGGTAGTCAGTCTCAGGCAGTGTGTGCGGCTTTGTCTGAAGCCACACCAGCTGTCAGAGTCACTGACGAACCAGTAGACAAGTAGACGAGTGTGTGTGAAGCGATTCAGTGACCTCGATGGATGGATGGATGGATAAAGCACCACCGGCAGTCAGCACAGCACAATCTCTCCTTCGCTCCCAGCATACACAGCACACATACGCACCGATATTCGTCCATTGGTCGCTGGCGATAAAAAGGCAGGCGACCTCCATGGCCATGGAGATGAGATGGATAAAGCGCATGCACCTACACCTACACCTACACTTACACACACACACACACACACGAGTGGATGGATGGATGGACACACATGTGTATATATGCACGCTCTATAAACTCACTTCACAGACTTACCTACTCCATCCATGGACGGACGGGCGCACGAATCAATCAACGGGTGAATATGCCTCCCTCATGTGATGTGTGACAGCCGACCCAGCCCAAAAGGGAAAAAAGCACCTAGAGGGAGTAGTAAGCCAACCACAACCACCACCACAACCACCGCCACCACCACCAGCAAACACAACACTGCACAGCACAACACCAAAAAATGCATCACAGACATCCCTCCCGATGCAGTGCGCCAAAAAAGGCGAATCGCGGCGCACCGGGAACCCGTACACGCAGCCATCAACACACCACACCACACAGCACTGTCTCACTCCGTCGATAAAACTCATATATCAGACTATAGGAGACTATATCAGACTACTTTGATGGTGTTGTTGCTCTTGCCGCCCTCGATGGTCGTGGCAGGTGTGGTGTCGCCCGCCACAACCGCCTTGAGCTCCGCCTCTGACGTCTCCTTGGGCGGCAGGAACATGGTGTACGCCTGTGTGTGTGTGGATGGATGGATGGACACGCCACACAGCCACAGACACAGACAAAGACACAGAGATGTGGTGTTGTGGCTTTGTCTGAGGGTGTGTGCGTGTTGGGGAGGGGGGTTCGCTCACCGATGGGAGGAACATGCCGAGGAGGACAAAGAAGATGCCCACAAAGGCGAACACAGCACCTACACACACATCCACATATCCACACACCACACCACACCACACACAAATGTGTCCCATTGGGTGCGTGTGGCTGCACTGCACGCACCGATGGCCTGGTACTGCACGGGGTAGTCCCCGTATCTGCCGAAGTTTTCGCTGAACGAGATGCCCAGGAGGATGCACATTATCGGCGGGTAGCAGTACTTCATCAGGATCGACCACATGGGCGTGATGCGCCACCACGTGTTGCCAGCTGACACACACACACACACGCACACACACACAATATTCCAATACGTGTGTGTGTGTGTGTGTGGGGGGGGGGGGGGCGA